ATGCAGAGATTTTTTTTTTTTCTTTTTTATTCCTCTATCATGTTCTATCTTCTGCAACAGAACAGATTTTTATAAGTAGGACTTATATAATTATTTTCATTTTTGATAGCTACACACATTGTTTAACGTTACACCACCAGCATTAAGAGAACCACACGTTTTCAGTGCATAGAACAAGCGAGAATTTACTTGAGAATGAGAGACATATGCAGCAATAGAGTGAATACATTGTCATTTTGTGCTGTAGAAGTATGTCTCCATTTAGAAAATAAATCTCAATATATTAAGTCTACGAAGATATTCTACTCCTCTGTGACAGCCGGATGCAGCCAAGGTATTACTGTCTAAAATTCATTTTGTGTAAGAATCTCATGATTCTTTTGCATTTTACAGTAGCAGATAGATTTGGGAAATGATGAAGAGGACTCCTTTAAGGGAGGTTATAGGTGTAGTATTTGTAAGTTGCAGCTTTTTGAGAGAGCTGTGTTTGATTTTCTGTTGGTACTTGTTTACATTTCTACACAAGCTATAAGAACAGGACAGAGAATCAAACCAAGGGTCACCAATATACAGGTGATATAGCACGAGCTATAAACAGATCCTTAAGCAAAAGCAAGAACAACAAAGCAGAGGTGATATTCCCCCTAATATTCTTCTATTTTTCCTCTCATTTTCACTTAAGAGGATTTCTTGAGCTGGATCTTGTTTTTCACATTTTGTTTCCCTCAGTGTTGCTTTTTTTTTTTTTTTTTGGTCCAACACAGTCTTTTTGAGTGTACATCATTTGTTGCATCCACAAGGAATTCTTTCTAAGGGATTCACAGGATTACTATATATTAACTGAAGAGTCAATATTTCTTTTTACTTATTTAAATGACACTGTACCTGAAGATTTTTAAATGTGTCTTTTCGGTATGTTTCTTTGGTACACCAGCATATGGTATTCTGCTTCCTGACATCATGGAGTCATTTCTGAGGAAACTTACTGCAGCTCAGACCGAATAGTGTCTTAACTGGTACATCTCAGTGTCAGTTGATTTCAGAAGGTAGCTTAAATGTTTCAATTTTTTCAATTTCAACTTTTTGTTCATTGTGTGGGGAATATTTCTATTTTAGTTTTTAATTATTCATTGGCTGTGCATTTTTGGTCAGTTTTGCAGAGAATATTTAAAATCCTCAATATGAAAATCAGCTGCTACCAAAGTGGTTATATTTTTGCTTCTGGGATGCTCTCACAGCTTTGGCTGGCAGACCTACTGAGAATATATCCTCCTATGCATATTGAGTCACAGCAAATTTTCTTACATGTGGCTCAGTAAAGCCTTAATTTAAAGGGAGTAAGCTACCAGTAGAGTGTACTCAGCAAGAAAACCTCAGTTCTCAAACAGATTGGAAAAATTCTCTTTAGTGTTCTTTAGAAGAAGCTGTTAGAGAACCTATTATTACACGCTTCCATTCAGGAGGAGTTTTGATGAGAATTGACCTTTGGGACCAGCACTAAAAATGCTGTCACTCTTTGTTAACTTTATATTCTGTTGTTCTAGAGTAACTTCCATCAAGTGCTTTCTATGTTGTTTTTTACCTCATTAAAATAATAAATTTCCACAAAGCTTTGAGATCTACAACTCAAATCCACAGTGGATTTTATGCACCTATTTCCCATTGTTTTTAATAGGATGCAGATTTCTCAATCTGATTGACTAGATTTTACTAAAGCACTTGATAAAAATCATTAATATCTTGCTTTTGAAGGACTGAGCTTTCCTTTTGATGGGGAAAAGTATGTACCGATATTATTTGTGATTTCAACATTTTAAGTGCAGGTTGTTACAATTTCAATTTAATTGACATCATTGGCTGTGGTAAAAAGGATTCAATATTAGTCTTCAAGACTCATCTTAAAACTTTAAGAATTTTTAAAGGGGTAAATGAACTGTAAAATGTGAATATCTGTTAGCCTTGGATTATGCTGCTTGATTAAGCTGTTAATAATTGCTGCTTGTTTTGAGGCAAAAGCCGTATCATCACGTCAGGTGCATGGAAAGTCAAAAAATGGTACTTAGTTCCTTTAGTATACAAAAGGTATAATAAAGAATCTTAGTTGATGGTAGTTGTGTTTGACTCTAAAAGACTCTCATAATTTCTGTATTGATTAAAAATACTTATCTTTCTTCCTTTACTTCTGTTTTCATTTCTCCAAACTGATGTCAACAGATCCTGACATAATTTCAACTGGATCCTTTATAAAAAAATTAAACCAGTCAACAGTTGGATAAGTGGATTGTTTTTCTTATTTGCCTTTCACAGACTCCTTTTATATACTTCATAAGCCCTTACAGGTCCATGTAGCATTATTTTTAAAAGCATTATTGATATTGTCCATAATCAGCTAAACCAAATAACTTAATCCAATTCTTTATCAAAATTTCAGTTGCTCTTTCCATGTCTGGGGACATGGAATGCAATCTAATTCATTCCATCTGAGTCACAGTTTGGAATAAAGGCCTGAATTCACCATCTGCACCATCTATTAGATATTTATACATGCACCTACCATCACCATCTAGGCTTTGGGCATAGCATCATTCTGGTTTAATTTTTCATAGGATAATAAAGTATTAGAGCAAAATGCAGTCTTGGCAAAGAATTGCCTTATACCACAAAAATGTCTCTATTTATATTAATCAGGAACTGAAGGTATCTGAAAATAGCTAAAGATCTCTAGATAGCCTTTTCCAGTGTGTGATAATAACTTTGCTGATGTAGGTTTTGTGTGAGTGGGCCAGTGCCAAGTGTGGCCCATACACAAGTGACACAAGCTCTTCAGAAATTCCTGCTTTCCATTGCCCAGGGTTTTCAGAGATAACAAGACCTGCATGAAGACTGTGTCCAAACTGCCAGCCTCACTCAGAAGGAGGCTATATGAAGTGCCCCACAGTGAGACAATTAAATCCTAACACTTGTTTAGGCACAAAATATTAGCAGCAGATAATAGGGACACTGACTAATGTGCTTGAGTGGGAAGATCATTAGAACCATCTTGGTGTCTAGTGGGCTGGAAACACGCTGATGAGAAGACATGATGTTACTTTGATCATTTGGCAGATTCTTACACAAGAAAAGATTTTCATTTATATTTTAGTGCATCGTATTATATTGTCTTCTATTATATTTTCTATCATTTTACCTTACTGTCCTTTTCTGTCTTTCCTCTCTTTCTCACATTCACACTCAAACAATAATTTACCTTTAGAGTAAATAGAAACAGTTTCCTCTAAAACTAATAAAATGTTGACTTATTTGACCAGATTTGGTTTGAGGCAGTGCTTTATTATGAAAAAGAAGGAAAAAACTCCAAAATATAAAACTTAAATCAATGCACAAAATATCTTAAACAGGAACACAGGTTTCAAAAACATAAAGGTGCTATGTCCAAAGCTGCAACCTGAAAACCCCACAGAATTTCACATTTTACTAACTTCTGTGTATAATCCTTGGGATGAGCAGAAAACAGGCAATTGAGCATATTTCAGACTTCTTGAGGTAAAAGTCCTGGTATTCATTTCACTCTGTCAAAAAAGCTTTCATATTTTTAAACCCACCTCCATTTCACAATAGAATATTGAAACCTTTCTGAGACCATCGAAAAGAATTCACATTTGGCATTGTGCAATATATAATACATGCTTACTGTAGACCTGTAAAGTTTTCAATGAGACAGATGCGTTGTGGTTTATACTGTTTTCTGCAGCATGTAGAACACACCACTGGGTCACCAGCTGCCTGCATCAGTGCCTTAAGATTGATCTAGAAAGACTTAGCCCATACCAGTCTTTTTCTACTCCCTACTAAAAGATCCCATACATCTATTCAAATGAATGAATGAATAAATAAATAAATAAATGCAATAAATCTACCTTACGGGGATATGCTAACCTTTGAAGGAAATCTTCCAACATTCTTTCTTAAGTGAGTTCTTCTACATCTTTACACTAAGTGTGCAGGAATATTTCCACATATTACACTGTTTAAAATCTCTTCCAAAAGGCACGTTTCTGACTAACTGTATACATTACAAAGCATGTGGATACCTTACTCATGGCTCTGGTTTGAACTTTGGTGACAACTATTAGAAGTTGCAGTGCTTATATTTTGATACCTAAATATTATTTGGCTCTTTCTATCCAATAGGTAAAAAATGGACCCCATTCAGAAGTATAACTTGTCTTTTGGTTGCTGGTAGAATTTTCAGGGGTTCTATCATATATCCAAATGCAATTCTAATGCACCAAAAATATATATAGTACAGATAATATAACTTATTAATGTGCAAGATGTTTTTTAAGCTCAGGTAACAGGTGCTGGTCAGGTTTGTTCCTTTTTTCATGGAGAAATTACCAGATTACTCCTCCTATATCCTATAATATATTATATCCTATATGAGATAAAATTGTCCTGATGTGTGTATTTATCTTTTACAGACAAATACCTTTGTTATGCTGTTATGTGCTTAGAAATTCCTCCATACATTGCTTAACAGGATCATGAGATCTCAATAATTTATTCATGAACGATAAGAAACATTTCAGGGATGTTTATCAATGGTAATTAAAAAGTAAGATGTATTTTTCGTGACTACATGATCAATAAGAGAAAAGTCCAGGTCAGCAATAACAAGGAGGTATCTAAAAGTACCCATGCTATAATCAGAGTTCTCCCTTACTGCAGCATTGCTAGCAAGCTAAGCAGGAAGGCAGGGAGGGGAGAAAGAAAGAAAAAAAGTAATTCTGGTTGTTCTACTATTTTTTCACATGTCAGACTGTGGAAACCACAGCTCAGCCTGGGGAAAGGAATAATAACTGTTTGTTCTCCTTCCCCACAGAGAGCTAAAGACAGACTAGGAGAGAGAAAACAGAAAACCACAAATCATCCCTCATATTTTTTGGTCAAGTACTAATGCAAATTAGAGTGATGAAAAAAAAAAAGATTTCTAAACTCACCTTTCAGGGATTAGTCTGTGTTCTTCACATGTCATCTGTTCCTCTTTCTTCTAGATGCCCCTTTAGACTGGGCAGAAAGATGAAAGCAAAGGAACAAGTTATGCTGCTTTAGAGCTCTCCTGTGATAACTTTTACTGCCCTTATTCTGTTCAGGCATCGTGCTCAAAGTTACCGCATACAAATTTTGTGACTTTCTAAAAGTCAGAACTAGACACAGACACTGACAAAACCTAGGGCTCTCCATTCTGGAGTCTCTTTGCAGTACTTTTGAAGCCATTAACTCTTTTTGTTGTCTTAGACTTGAAACAGATTACTCAGATGGTGAAATAGTGGTGCAGCATGAAGTCTGGATGGAGCAATATTAAAGTTATAATTTCAGCTTTAGAACCTTCTTAGAAATATATTTGGATGGAAAATGTATCTTAAACCATTAGCAGTTCAGAGATATCTAAGGATTTAGTTTTCTCTTTTTTTTTCATGCTATGTAATTACAGCAAAATTATTTTAAAGTCTCTTTTTCTTCTAGTTTAAGTAATACCATAGGGACTTAATAAGAGAAAAAATTTTGGGGCTGATCCATCTGATATTAGAACATGTATTTTAGGTTCTGTTTATCATGGGGCAAATATGATCCCTGGTGAACCTTGAAGGCTTTTTCCAGTTTCTTGGACAAGGAAATTTGTTAGACAATCTGTCAGTTCTCATGTAAGGATTTTATTTCAGAGAAAAAAATAAAAAGAAAGTGAGGACAGAGAATATTTATTGTTCACTGTTGAACTTCATATTATCTGTTAATGACCATGATCTGCTTAGAAAAATGTATTTGCTCTTATCTTTTTTCTATTTCAAACAGAGGTTAAAGAAATTATTCTTAAAAGAGTGACTTTTTAAGATTATTGTCTTTTAACCTTCATAAATTACAAAAGATATTTATAGAAAGAATCTGTATTTTAGTCATTTTTTAATAAGTCTATAACTAATAATAATTTCTTATTGCCTTACTGTTGAATTTTCTAACATTAAATATGAGATAATTCAGCAAAGAATACTCAACAGATCCACTAGTCATTTAAAATAGAAGCAATGAATTCCCAATCACTGAAACTTGTAAAAAATGTGAACTTGAAGAAAAGACCACAGGTAAAAATAAACCACAAAATGTATTTTATGTACCAATGTCTAGATAATTAATTGCGACAGGGAATGTTATAGTAACTGCAGTTATAAATTCTCTAACATACTGGCTTAATGGCAATGAACTTTTTCTTCTTTGATTAGAGACATGCTTCTGCCACCAGCTGAACATTTTTTACTAACAAGCTAATGCTTTTCTCTTCTATTTAGAGAAAGATCAAAGATGTAAATATTGAGAACTCAAAACTATTTTGCGTTTTGAATCCCATCTCTTCTACAGAAAAGGTATCTGCACAAGCAAATCTTGTTGGTATATTTATTGTTATAGTCAATCAATGAAAGATCTTTTTTTTCTGATTCTGCATCAATAGACTTTAAAATATCTGACTTCAGAAGTTTACTTTTAATCCATAGTTTTTGTAGGTCTTTGATCAACTGGACCTCTCCTAATTTCTGTTAAAACAATTTAAGCTGATAGCAGTTGTACATATATCACATGGCATTAATCACTGCTTTATTATAGCAGTTCATTATAGCTGATTTATTGCAGGGAATATGGCCATCAGCCCATTTAACCAGGAGTTTGCCAAATAAAATGCAAAATTATATGGTGTCCTGGTGAGGGCAGCAAAACATTCAACATACATGCTCTTAGTAAACCAGTTGCTGTTCTTTGCAAACTAATTCTGAAATTGCAAATGAGAGGAATGTGTGCTTTTTGATTTAGCATTTTAAGCTAGGGAGGTGCATTTTTCCATATTTTTTTTCAATCACTCTCTGTGTCTAATATCGATGATAAACCTTACCACTATAATTTTTTTTTTCAAACTTACATCCCAAATTAGAATTGTTCTGCAGATGAAAACAGATTCAGTATTAATCTCAAAAGACAGTGAAAAAGGTGGAAACAATCTGATTGTTTTTTCCTTCTTACGTCTTGATATATACTCTAAGAAAATACTTAGAATTATGTTTGGCTATTTCCTACAAAAGTACATTATCTATTCTTGGTTTAGACTAACTGTTAAAGTAATTCTTTGAAAAATAATTCTGCTTGCCTGATATTTCTGGAAAATATAAAATGAGGAAACATGTTAAAAGTAAATCTCATGAGCTAAATATCTGCAAATAAGCAGAGAGAAATTTGTGCTTCTTCCCTCCAGGATAAAGATTCTCCTTTTTAGTAATTCTTTCAAAAACCTCAAACGTAGCTTTTTATTTTTGGTGGAAACAACTATCCAAAATGGAAGTCAGCTACCAATTGACATATATTCACTCTTATGCAAGACTAAAACAAATAGTTGCTCCTTTTTTTTTTCCCCTTGAAATGGAAAAACAAGGATCGATACACCCAGACTTTGTAAATATCTACGTATTTTGCTCACATGCTCTAAATTTGGCTTTCTTTTTGCCTGATTTATGTCAGAATCTGTGATAAATATGATGGAAAAAAATGGTTTGCATGATAAGCTTTTGTCAAAAGGAAAAATAATGTTATGTTTCATGCTGAGCAATAAGCAGAGAACATTTTCAGAGAAAACATAGGCTGCAATTATTGTTAAACATGTTTGTTAGGTTTATATTTGGAATTATTTCCAACATTCAGTCTCAAACTCACCTTGAATATAAATTGCACTTTATATTTCAAATCTGTCTGTTACTCTGTGTGATGTAAATGTTTTGAATTTTTTATGATGTGTGCTTTGTTTAGGAGGAAAAGAAAGCAGTTCAGATTTTAAAATAGTTGATTTTTTAAAAAATAAAAATTATAAACTTTGGTAAGTAATTTAAAATGATACATGGTTATTCAGTGCTTAAAATATCACTGTGCAGAGGATTATTTGAATATGTGTTGCAAGGTTACTTGTCTCTCCTCTTTTTCTTTTTGTGTGTACCTAATACAATACAAATTAAGTATTACATAACTCTCCTGAGGCTATTATTTGTAAGGGTGGAAAGGAATAATCAAAATATATTTTTAAATATATGCAGGTGCAAAGGTGCAAATCTTGATACACTTTACGTTCTTTCAAAGTTACTTTTGAATTGCTACACAATATACTTCTTAAAGAAGGATATTCAGATTATTTGAAAAATAAAGATACCAACATTATACATATGTAAATTAATAAAAAAAATAACCTGATGTAAAAAAGATCAAGTTTTGACTCATATGTGCCAATCTGTTGTCTTTCAAAATAAGTGGCAGGTAAACTGCTGCAAATTAGTTGCAGAGAGGTGAGGGTACTAAACAGATCGAGGTGTGTTAAGAGAGGGCAGAAACTTTGTGGTAGAGGGCTTATTTGATCTTTTTTTATTATTATTATTTTTCTTTTCTTTTGGAAAGAAAGGGAAATTCTGCTAATGAAATCAGAGTTTCTATTTGTGAGAAGTAATAAATCTTCTTTTACCCTCCAGTCCTTTCTTTTCTTTTTTTTCCCTATGAAGGTCAGTGGTCAAGACTGCAAGCTAGCTTTTTAGTCATTGTGGAACCTAAGAGAAAAAAGAATTTGATTATTCCTATCCAACCTAAAAGAGGGAGTGAAAAGTATAAAAAGACATAAAAAGCTCTCTAAAATCCTGAAGGGAAACAAAATCCTTTCCTTCCTTCCTTCTTTCCTTCCTTCTTTCCTTCCTTCCTTCCTTCCTTCCTTCCTTATCTATATCATCAATCTCTTACCATTAATAATTTGGAAGGGTCTGTAGGCAGGCCAAGCTGGGATCATGATACATATATCTTCACTGATAAGCACAGGAAATAAATTCATAGCTACGAGAATTACATACATAGCCATCCTATTTCTTCTTCCAGAATGCAAACTTCTTTTTTAAGACTCCTGAAGCTGCCTCAGGCTGGGATTTGTGGATGTACAGTCAGAAGTCCTGACCTTATAAGTCATGTTGGGATTTTATTTTTTCTCTATGTCCCTCTCACCAAGGGTAAGTTGAACATGCTCAGCTAGACAGAACTGGGGCTAAAAGCTAGAGTACAGCAATTACTGTTCTATGGCCTGTATGATGCTAACTAACCTTGTTAGCAACAATGGCACATGCTCTTAAAGTCTACACAACAGAATAGTTGTCATCACAGGAAAATGAAACCATAAGGATGCTCTAGGCAGGTAAGTCCTTTTATTAAAATAATTTGCACATCTTTTTGCTTCAGAGTCCCCAGGTAGTATAATATCTATATTTAGGTTTTCATTAACATCCTTAGGGAAGTAAATATCCCTCCAACTCAACTGACTAATCTCTGCTTATTTTCTACCTATCTTCTCTTTCTACTTTTTAATAAAAAATCCCTAGCTTAATTTTGATCAAATTGCATACTTTAAACTTCAGTAACTTGCTAATAATAAGGAAGGTTTGTCTTTCTCCCAGCCCTCCTATGTTTACATTGATGAGTGATGTTTTATACATCTTTCTGCTGTCATTTGCACAGAAAGATAAGGGTTTTAACTTCAAATCTAAGTTTGTGTATAATCAATTCCTTGCATTTTTCTCCACTTTTTAAAATTTATTTTACTGTACAACTATGCATTGCTATGCATATAACATGAAGTAAATGCATCCACACACTATCATGTAAAAAATATATGGAAGAAAGTGTAATTAAACACTTAGAATTGAGTATTATACCTTTAGATTTAAAAATACATATATCCCCTCCGAAAATCACTTCCAAAATGTCCAAATTATTCTGGGTGAATATTTTTACAAGGTCATAAGGGAGAAGAGGATATAATATTCCTAAAGGAAACAGATATATGCGTAGATGTTATGTTACCTAGCAACATAGGGCCCAATCTGTTATTTACTCCATTTGTTGGATCTTACTATCAGTACATGGGGGGGGAAAATGACACACATTAGGTGTACTGAGTCCTCAGTCTCTGGTTCAGCAGATCCAAAAAGAAATGGAAAATGTGTAGTTGTATATTTGGTTCTGGATAAATATCATAAGTGGTTTATCCTCCTGCACATGGCAAGAACCAGTCCCTATTATTAGCTAGTATTTCACTGAAGTCAGAAATTTTCTTTACAGGTTACAAGAAGAAGAAAACAAAAGTCAAAACAAAAATATTTTTAAACCTTGCAACCCCAACTGTTGTAATTAAAGTGAGTTATGAAAGGCTCTACTGAAGTGACAGCATGGTATAATAGTGTCCTTTATTCAGTCTTACATACAATGAGTATCATAAGGAATACACTTGTAAGAAAAACTATTAATGTGCCTCAATGTTTACCAGCTCAGACAGGTTTTTTACATAGAAAGGTTAGGAAACTTGTCAGAGAGTCATAACAGTCACAATTAGGAAAAAAAATACCTACATTTTTTTCTTTCCTAGATAGAGATATTCTTTTTATTTTATCCGTAGCTCTGACATTGTACAGTTTCTTTGTAGTTTAAGATCAATCACTAACCTGTAAGAAAGAGAGTACAAAAAGGTTATGATCCAAAACTTTTTCACATAAAGCCTTTTCTGCTAGTTGACTAGGATAGACTTGGTGTAGAGTTCCAGGAAATTTTGATTTATCCATTCCCACATGCCTGTATCTGTAGGTACCTTCTGGATATCAGGGTTTCTTTTCATGCTGAAAAAGAGGATCAATCCTCTATTATCTTGGGTCTCCCAAGGATACTGATGTGGTTTTGTGGGCTTTCAGAGAATCTTGGAAACTCTCCAGTCTTTTATAAACTAGAAAACTCTCCACACTCAAAGACTTCCAACTAACTGTAGAATCTGTCATTAGCAGAGCAATCCCCATGACTTTGTGTGTGTATGGGTGTGTATGTGCATTTAGGGCCTGATCTGTCATCCACGTGAATTTTCTGTTTAAGACTCTTGTTTTTGCTGCTACTGCTGAACAAAATAGACTAGAGGGTGATCTGGCTGTTCCTCAGATATCAGGTAGAGTAGCATACTGATAAATGTCCCTTTTTTGGGTCCTGACTTAGGCATGATTAATCAGTACAAAGATTAAAATTTAAGGGTTACACTGGGTAATTTAGGGTCTTTAGTCCTCTCAAAGGCATTACAGTAACCACTGGCATATTTTATGGTCTCTTGTGCAACAAAACAAATCTGAAGCTGGAAATACATGATGAGGTTCAAGCGCTGCAGAAAACATGGGGCTCACTGAACTTGAGGAACACCTTAGGAATAATTCACTACTAGGTCCTGAGAAAGGACAACAACTACCATCAGGAGCTTTGAAGAGACTAATAGGAGATCAGAACAGTTTTGTCACATTGGTAGCTGATACTGAACATAAGACAAAAGGGGTTATTCTTGAGACTAGCAAAAGCACTGACCAGACCAATACGCAAAACTGATTGCCTGTTGTAGTCTTTTGTAGTCTTTTAATTCTTGTGTGTGTTTCTATCTACAATTCAAAGCAAAATAATTTTGGAATGAAAATTTAAACTTTTTATTGTTAAATCTCACACTAGGATTTTCAGGTTTAAAAGTCTGATCCTCCAACACCTATTTCCTCTAAATTAAATATTGCATGAATCAAAATGATTAGTGAATTATTTCTGTTATTAAATTGGCATTTTCTTATGGAAACCTCTTAGGAATTTTATTTCCCAAGTGGATCTAGTTGTGCAAAACTGAGCTTCTGGATGTGGCACACTGTTTCCCAGGGACTTCAGGAGGCAGTGATATCTGACTCCTATCACTGCTGCTTTCTTGTGAGTGCAAACCCTAAGTACTCAAAAATAAACAAAACTGATTAAAACTACTGAAAATTACTATTACCTGTATCACGGGCCTTCACTGCCTTAACTTTTAACAGTAATACCCTCCCTACTCCTTTTCTTCCTTTCTTCTTATTATATCTTGCTTCTCTCAGTGCAAAAAAACAAGGAAGACAATTCTGCCAGGTACCAAATGCCTTTGAGTCACATCAAATTTAAGAGAATGAGATCACACTGTAAATCTCCTGAACAGCTGCTGGAGAGACATGGAGGTCCCCTACTCTGGAGGTACTCTGGGGAGTCAAGCATTGATGTAGCTGCAATTGCACTACTCATTCTCTGACACGCAAGTTTTCAGATCAGGAGGAACAGTGCCAGTAAGATCTTGCTTTGTTATATCTCTTCAGCTCCAACAATGCCTGCAATCAGGAAAATTTATAAGTAAAAAACTTAAGGCTGAGTGACAACGCTTTAGTTCTTTTCTGCAGCAGAGTTTAGCAGCCCCAAGGATTGAGTCCCCTGGCATTTTTTTATATTAATTTAAATAAATAAATACACAAATAAACCACTCCACACTATGTAAGATATGACAAATTATTTCCTAGTGTTACAAAGGTTTTGTTTGCTACCTTTGATCTTTTAATTATTTTTTTTTAGTTAATAACAGTATTTTATGTAGTCTGCTTCCTTCTTATTAAGTGTTCTGGATTACAGCTGCAAAAATGTCTCCTGTAGTACTGTGCTACTAATCAGTAGCCCATGAGGAACTGTATGATGCAGCTTAGCAAAAGCAATCAAAATTTCTATAATCCAGGAAATAGAAGGGCAAAGAACCTAACCCAAATACACTCCAGAATCCACAATGGCAATTAGAGAATATGGCAATAAAAGACAACAAATATGAGTATCTGTATCACTGTATAGGCCTAAATTTTCATCAACTGTATTTCATTTTTTTTAGTTAAATGCTTTCATAAACTCTTACTGTATTAGAAGAATAGGACCTTTTGTAAAGTCATTCTCTTCTCAATTATTTTGTAAAGAGACTATTATGTGGAGTGGACTGTTAATTAAAAATAACTGAAAATTGCATTTCATTCTCAGGAATTATGAAATTTAAAAGAATATACGCTCTGGTTATTCTGGAAATTGAGAAACCTAACGTTAGCCTCAGTTAAAGAAATGTAGTCAATTCTTACAGTATGATGAATTATTGTTCTATATTTCAGATAAAGATCAGCTAGCAAACTATTTTAATTGTACAATTTTACTGAGCAACATTTACCATAAACCTGAAAAAAAAAAATCAATACTCTCTATGCAGGTAGTTGGTAAAAGTTGGGAGTGTATGAGGCTGTGTTCAGCCCTAGCCAGTGAAGAAAATCTTTTGTGGATATTGCCTTCTTACTACTACTGTTACCAATATTGATCTCAGCTAACCACTGCAGTACACTGAGATCAATTCAGCTGTATTCCTTGGAGTCACCTAAAACTAGAGCACTCCATTGTTGAATCAAGTCCTTTGACTTGAAATAGCTCTATTTGTACTAGAATGTTAACAAGACACAGAGTTATCTCTTGAATGTTAACACAACACAGAGAAAAATAGGGGCATTCCCCCCTCTCAAGACTAAGAAGCCTGTACAAAAGAATCTGGTGGGGTTTGTGCTTAAAATAATAGGATCTGAAAGAAAATAAATCCTTTCCTCTATGTAGTTTCCTTTATATTCTAGAGAACAGAGGGTATGGGAATATATGGTCTACATATGAACTGATTTAACTGCAGAAGTATCATCATTAACCTGAACCAGCCCTGGTTGTTTCTGGATTTGGCATGACTTGCTTGACAGAGATGTGCTATTTTAGTTAAGATGGTTCATACCCAAACAGAGAGTATTTTGCAGGTGAAGATCTAAAACATCCGATGTGTGAACTTCCAATGAGTATGTGTTGCCATGAAGTTAGAACATCAAGCATGACCACCATGTGTCCTATCTCTCTGTTCACTAGTGCAGTTTAAATGTTGCTGCTGCTGGACTTAGCAGTAGTAAGAGTAGTGTCTGTTAAGGAATCACTGTAAAGCATTTGCTTTGGACTCGTTTAGCTCTTAGGCAATTATGCATATGATTGTCTATACTGCCTTCTATACTTTGCAAGTGAATCAAACTGCCAGATGAAAAAATGACATAACCCTAAGTCCCTATTCATATACCAGGAATTAAACTCATGTATTTACTTCTAGTAAAGCAATAAAGATCCGCCTTCACTAAAATTTGATAGTATAGAGTTGCTGTATATTTTTATCTCCCTATAGAAAAATATGTTCTTTTGGATAATTAGGGTTTAGTCTAAAGTAGAGTTGAGGGTCTATTATTTGTGCTTTTTTACTTTATTAGCCTACACATATTCATATCACATTTTTCATTTTTATTAATTTGCATGTATAAACTGCTTGAATGTACATGTATATATATAAATACATAAATAAATGCAAATATATACATAGATGTTTATAACTATATATATGCATTTATATGAAAGAGAATCTGGTGAGTTGCTATCAGGCATGCTAACAAATATTTTTGGTTGCTTTTTTTCCTCAAATAGCAGAGTTTCATTTCTTCTGCTGTGCCAAGATCCTTCCTTCCTTCATTCACTAATCCACCTTTATCTATGTCTTAAATCCAACAGGATGTAGAGAATATTGTACTGGAAATAATGCAGACTACAGAATTAAACCATACCAAAAAAAAAAAGAAAACACATCCATCTTGGATAAAACCATCCTTCATGGATGAATGTTTTTTTTTCTTTAATTGTCCCACTTGAATGGCTGTTAAACATCTTGAGTGCACATCCTATATTTGGTGAATCAAAATTAGTTAATACTTTTGCAATGGGATCTCTAATCTTTCAGAGCCCAAAACCACAACTACATTCTTCTTCTACAGTGTACATAAAAGATGAAAAAGCACCTCTGATTTCTAAGGATGAATTTTACTGCAGTTTAAAGCAAAGTGCCTTTCTAAACAGAATATATTAAACAGGTCTAGTGGTACAAATCTTCGGTTTAACAACATGTTCTTTCAGGCTGAATACATTCTTCCCTTCTCCTGTTCTAGTTCAGTAAGTTTCTCTTTTTAGGGTCTTTGGGTTAGGTCATGACTATCAAGGCACATCTATCCCCTGAGTCTTAAAAGTGATTTGCTATCTTCCTGGTCTGGACCAATTTCTGCCTCTTACTTTATACTGGGACATTCACTGCCATTAAAGGGAATGGGATCACCTGACACCAAATATGTCCTCAGAGTAAGAATCAAGCCTCCAAGATGTCTCTAGGCTGCAAAATGTTAAAACTCCAAGTAATTTTAAATTCTCGCTTGACACCACTGAGATATGGAATTCTGCCTGTTTCTTGCAAGTGATAAACCATCGTTAACTTGTTTATTGATAAGTGTCAAATTATTTTGATTACATCTGATGGGATAATGTTGTTTAACTTTGTTATTTGCATATTTATATTAACCAGAGACATCAAAGTATACTTCACATCTGTTATCAAGCTGAGAGGAAGACAGGCTTTCTTCTATGCAGATAAACAGACAGGATTCTTATGCTGCTAGCAAGTATGTTTTGTTGTTACTTACATATATATTATTCCCAGGCAACATTAGTACTAAGAATTCATTTGCAAATACTTTCCTTTTACACATTTTAGTCT